GTCTGTCTAGATCAGTAACTAGAAAAGGGAGATGCATGCATGCGGATTCACAAAGGTCGGTTAACAAAATTTTTTAGAACTCAGGATTCTAAATGCCAGGCTCTAAATCAATGTCTCTTAAGGTAAGTTCTAATCAGCTTTGGGACTCAGGGTGCTTTATGTCAGGATTTAAATCAATGTATGATATTGGCAGTTGCATCAGCTGAATCTACCAGCATGATCGACAGTGGAATATTTTAAAATGAGGGTATCAATATGATAAAAAATGAAAACTAAGCTAAAACTCTGCCATTTCATTAGCATCGTTTAATGCACTTAAAATTACAATGATAGTTTCTTCATTAATACTGAAATATTAAAAGGAGAATAGCTGTTTAGCGGTCGTTTGAGGTGACATTTACTGTAACTTTGAAACCAGGCCTCAATTGTCAATCTTCAATAACTAAATATTTATGGACCACTGACCATATGACATATATCCATTGTCATCATTTCATTCCCATGCCATCCATACTTAATAAAATGTCATTCTCTATTCTCCACAAAATGTCATTTTCTATTCTCAACAGAGATCAAGAATNCATCCCCCCCCCACCCCCTTCCCCAGTTGACCCAATCTGAGCTATAATGTAGAGACTAGATCGAATTTTGATTTAGAGTGAACTTTTTCTATGCTGTAAATGAACATCTGATTAGCTGTTTTTATTCTGCCCCCTCTTCTTTCTTGGGTGCGTGGGGGAGGGGGAGGCGAGGGAGAAAGGGGCTACCTCTGATGCAGGGGTGGGGGGGGGAGGAGGGGGAGGGGCATGCATGTCACACTGTGCACCCCCCACCCCCCTTTCTGGTCCCACCATTGCAATGGCTTTATATACTGCTCATACTTGATAACGGTCACAATTTATCACAATTACTGCCATCTGGGTGGTCGCCAAGTGCTCAAGTGCTCTGTTATGTTCGCGCCGTGCAATATTTACGCAATGACACCTTTTACGTAGAATATATTGCCACTGGGTTCTAATTCTGGCTGGGTCTCAATGTGCAGGGTAAATATTACCAAGTGGTTGTGTTGACTTAATATGTGGACTGCCTCTGATGTGGTTTGAGTTTGTACTTGATAAAATGAGAGAGAGAGAGAGAGAGAGAGAGAGAGAGAGAGAGAAATGAAGAAAGAAAAAAGTTGAGAGAGAGAGATGAGTTTAAAAGGGAGAGAGAAAGAGAAGGAGAGAGAAAAAGAAAGAGAGAGAGAGAGAGACAGAAGGAAATTTGAAAGGGAAAGAGAAAGGGAGAGAGAGAAAAAGAGAGTGAATGAGAAAGAGAAATGCAGTTCTAACAAAATGAAATTGAGAGAGAGAGAGTAGGGAAAACAGAGAGACAAAGAACAAAATGGGAGTGAAAGAGAGTGATTGAAAGAGTCCTACAGCTAATGTGGCAAGCAGTCTTAATTTAGACTACACATATAGATTTTTTCTCCAGTTCTGTTTGTAAATCACTACCCACCTCATTTTTCTTTAATGCACTTATAAATACACTACTAGTACCTTACGGTAGGCATTCAAGCTGATTTTACCCCCCAGCAGTCTAGAACAACAGCCCAAGGGCTCACATTTAAACACAACAGGTAACAGCGAACACATGACACCTTTTGTATCTAATTTTCAGACAGTGTTTTCTACAACTATCAGCACCACTAACTGTCATCTAATCACCCCCACCCACCTACTCCTGGGGTAGTGCTAACACTCGCCAATTTAGCCAAATGCTAAAACTGACTGAAATTGGCTTAACAAAATAGGGTTGATTTGACTGATTTTAGCCAAATATAAACCATTTGGGCAAAAAAGTGATGAAGAAGTAGTAAATTGGCTAAACTAAAATAATTGCTAGCGCCACCCCAGTACTATATTATCCACCCTCTTTTACCCGCCTACCGGTATATGCACTATATATCAGATCTGCATCAGAATTTACCAAGTGATTGTTGGTTTACACTTACTAGTACCTTACCAATTTACCCGTTGCTCAATCAATGCTACACCTTCTGTATTTAATTCTCAGACAGTGCCTGTAAACTTTCAACACCACTTCATGTATAATCACCCCCACCCCACCCCCCCCACCCACCCACTTACTAACCACAACCCCATTCCCCCCTTTCCCACTATTTTTATGCACTTCATCAGACCTACATCAGAATTTTACGCTTACCTCACCAAGTTTGCCCTAATGCTCAATCAGTTCTTCTCGAGTCTGGTGTATTAGTGGCTACGTTCAAGTATTGATCACGATGCCCGGAAGGCAGTGTGTGTCTTTAGAGGGCATCAACGAGCACAGACACTAGGTTCAATAGCAAACAGGCCAACTAGAAATGGTTGTTTGCCAAGCCAAATTGACATCAAACTCAATTAGCAACGATTTCACAGCTACGATCCGAGCTAAACATCTCTCGGTAATCTGTTTGATCGGGGGCCATTAAATTCCTGCCCGAAGCGGGAGAGAAGACAGAGATCATACAAATATGGTTACAGCAGGGGATTGCATGTATACCGTGTACACAGATCCCTAAACATTTATGATCAAGCCAGAGTTTATTTAGAGCTACAGATCCAATCAAGGATTTTTGATCCAATGCATGACTTTTTTATGATTTTTTTCAAATGGCCATGTGTGCACATTTATCTGTCAGACATCACAAAAGTATAGAACTTTGCAGAGATGATGGTTGGAGAGAAAGAGAAAGGGAGAACAATAAGTTTGAGAGAGAGAGAGAGAGAGAGAGAGAGAGAGAGGAATGAAGAATGAAATCAGTTTGAGAGAGAGAGAGAGAGAGAGAGAGAGAGTTCTGAAAGTCAACCCCAAGTCACTGATTACTGCATTGATTTTTTATGGTAATTTAATCATCTGCAACTTCCGCTAGATCATCGAACTTGGCTGTTTGTTCTGACTCAATAAATCATTTACGTTTCCTTGCCAGTTTTAGCACTTAATTGAACTGATAGTTTACCCAATCTCGAGAAATTCAGTCCCAAATTAGTAACTTCTCCTTCAAAAATCTCATTAAGGAATAACTGAATTTTGATTTTGGGCTGTTTTTCTGAATCATGACTGATACAAAAAAATTATTAAATAGAAATAAGTAAATTGTATATGTTTTTGAATTGTTTATAAATAGGAATGATAACATTCCTAAAACAAGTGCACTAGAAAATTATTTCCACATGATGTTTTTAAGTGAAATATTTAATAATTTGATCCTTAATCAAATACTTCTGATCACACGATGGACTTGCTAATGAACAACCCATTTCACAAAATGAAACAATTGGCATTTTTTTAAATTTCTCTACAACTGAGGAGGGAGGGGCTTCTATGTTAAAATCATGTTCAATTTTGAGGAGTCTTTAGATCGTCTTTTTTAGAAATCAAATCTGATGTTATAGTATAAATGTATACTTCTGTATATTTCTGTAAATTCTATATATCTACAGTACATATCTTCCAAAGCTCCTAAACTTTTCTTTTCCAATTGGGTTCTGAAGAGAGAGAGAGAGAGAAAGGGGGATCTCAACCATTTATTTGTAATTAGCAAATGTGAAATTTTCTTGGAAATGTCAACATATTGCCCTTCATAACCATGGCGCTACATGTCCAAACCAATAAACATAATCATTAGTCATATGTTTTTCAGTTTTAGACTGCATTCAGATTGACAAACTGTACAAGTTGGGTTGGTCCAACTCTTTGGGGGGATTCCATCTTAATTGCAATCAGTGGAACAATCTTAATTGTCTGACATGCCTTCTCGAGCAGCTTTGAAGTAATTAACTATCATGTACTGATTAAGCTGATTCCACTGATTGCACTTATCCCTTGCCTAGCACCCCATTTCTATAGGTTTTTAAGATCGATCTATCCCTGTGGGGATTCTCACTAGATTACTGTCAGCTTGACCGGCTTAAGCGTCTGTCCCGCCTACTAAAAGCTGTAAGGGGGTAATTAACAATGGTGTCCGCTCGGCTGACTGCAATTTAGCCTGAACCCCCAGGGAGTTAGGTCGATCTAAATCTTAATCTTTAGATCGATCTAAATCTTTGGGAAAGCACCCTAGTTGAACCGACCCAGCTAGTACCATGTGAGAATCTGAATGTGCCCTAAGTTTCGAGTCTATGGCTCTGTTCTCACAACTTTTAGATCGATCTATCACCGCGGGGAGTCTCACTAGATTACTGTCAGATAATCCCCCATAAGTGTCCGTCCCCGCCTACTACAAGCTTTAAGGGGTAATTAACTTTCGTGTCCGCCCGGCTGACAGCTATTTAGCGTGAACCCCCAGGGAGTTAGGTCGATCCAATGTAGGTCGATCTAATCTATGAGAATGGGGTGTATGAGTCAGTATATTGTGCTGAAAATAGAGACTGGTGAATTTCACTATCGAAAGTAATAACTGCTAAACAACTGGGAGCACTTCTGCAAAATTCCCCTATTGAAAGAACAGGCAGAACATTGCCAAATTATCAGACTGAGTGTAAGGCTCTATTCCCATAGATTTTAGATCGATCTATCCCCGCGGGGAGTCTCACTAGATTACTTTCAGATAATCCGACTTAAATGTCCCTCCCGCCTACTACAACCTGTAAGAGGGTAATTAACTTTCGTGTCTGCCCGGCTGACAGCTATTTAGTGTGAACCCCCAGGGAGTTAGGTCCATCTAAAGTAGGTCGATCTAATCTATGGAAATGGGGTGTAAAACTAATCAGCTTAACCTACTGCGCAGTATTACTAGACTTAACACAATTTGGTATTACTAGCATTCATTACTAGTATTCCTTCTATTAAACATATATATATATATATATGTGTGTATCACATACGTTGGGTCATAGGCATTTGAAAAATAAAATGGTACCAAATAATAATAACAATGATTTCAAACAAACAAACAAACAAACAAATAAAGTATACATAAATGACATAAAATAAATAAATAGATAAAGCCAACTTACCATCTAATCCTCAAAGGCGTGACGAGCACTTGTTGAAGCAGCTGTTCTTTTGACTAGATATAAAAACCCTGACGAGTTTTCCCCAAGACACAAGATGCTAGGTAATGTCAGGTCCAGCTCCACTTTGTCGCTTCTTTTATCAACTCCTAATTTTGAGTTCTGTTATCCAATATTTTACCTTTGTTATCTATTTCCTTTCTTTTCTATCTTCCTTCTCTTTCCTTTGCTTTCTTTTGAGCAATCAATAAATCAATTTCTAATTGATTTTTTTTCAGACTAATGAACTTGTAAAGAGAAATCCTCTCACAGCCTTGTGTACAACTTCCTGTGCCAATTTTCTTCGAATGCCTCAAAGAGAATTAAACTGAGACTTTTTCGGGATGGAACTGTCCCAATGAAAATTGCCTTCTCAAATGAACAGCGTTACTATCAACAGCAAAAAGCCTTGTAACGTAATATATCGCACCTTTTTCCTTTGCCTTCTTCTCCTCTGCAGCAAAATGGCCAAGGCACAACAAATCTGTAAAATATACCCTGCTCCGAGGATAATCCTTTCTCTTAGGCGCTAACAAATTGCTCCATAGTTTCCTTGGCAATTAATGTGGCTGGATTGAGCTGTGGGGGGCTTTTGTTTGCTGATGTCACTAAAAAGAAAAGTTAACACATATATAAATTACCCAAAGATTTTTTATATGCTAAGTACCAGACTACTAGTACCTTATATTCTGGACTCTAGAAATAAAAGAGAGAAAAATAAATAGGATGAAAAGAGAAATATAACAACAATAACAATAATAAACACCCAAGCAAGTACATAACTCAGTAAATGATTACGTCTATAAATAAGAACAGCCAAATGACATCTTTCAATCCAATTCCAAATGCTTAAATATTTGTGCATGCACCAGAAAGTGATGCAGGCCCTAAAGTCATTACCCTCTTTTTGTTTTTACCATAACCATAATTATCAAGCTCGGCCATATTGTCCTCGCCACCATGCATCGATATTCTGGAACAGTTTAATGGCTTGGAATTCACACCAAGTCCCTGGATGTCGATGACGAGCTTTGAATTAACAACGATAACTAGACTTAAGTGCAGATCTCTTGCCTTTCTAACAGGGATCAATAATTTCAGTTGTGTGACGGTATGGGAAAAATGTTTTTAGTTCTTACTTCCAGAAAATGGGGCCCTTAATTGAAAAGCCCCGATTGTGTTTCTATGGCAATCCTGCCTATTTTTAATTACAGTAACCACTTTAGGATTGGATTAAGAGGGTGGTAAGGATCACAATAGTGAAACCTCTACATTCTGAGTTTTCGAGGAGTGAAAATGTTTTCTGTTTTCATCAACACTTGTCTCTTTTCTCACCTGTTATTTCCATAAACCAAAGTCAATGCAACTGGGTTGGGAATGAAATTCCAGGAAACGGGGCCCTTGATTGAAAAGCTCCGATTGTTTTTCTACGGTAATCCTGTCTATTTTAAATTACAGTAACCACTTTAGGATTGGATTAAGACTAAAGAGGGTGGTAAGGATCACAAAAGTGAAACCTCTGCATTCTCAGTTTTCCAGGAATGAAGATGTTTTCTGTTTTTGTCAACACTTGTCTATTTTTTCTTCTGTTTTCCATAAACCAAAGTCAATGCAACTGGGTTGGGAATGAAAATATTATCTGTTTATGTCAACACTTGTCCATTTTTTTCTCCAGTTTTTCCATAAACCAACATCAATGCAACTGGGTTGGGAATGAAAATATTTTCTGTTTATGTCATCTCATGTCAATCCTTTTTTCATTTTTTTTTCCATAAGCTTAAAGCCCACATCAATACAATTGGATCCGCTCTCACAAAAGTGATGTAGCCTGAAAAGAGCAGTTGCAACTTTAAGGTTACATAGGAAGTCAAACCTCTGCTGCTAAACCCTACCAAATGCCATCACCAAAAAAAAAAAAACAAAAAAAAAAAAAACAGATATTTTCTGCTTTCTTTCTGCGCTACTGTATGTACAACCCTCGGCCATTTCTGCCACCTCTCACCTCCGAAGTTTCATTGCTGGACCGCTGCAGGGTCTGTGTCTTTGGAGGCAGGGAGACCATCAGCAATTAGTCAGCTCTGCTTTAATGTGCTTGGGCCATATTTGATCTGAAGATGTGTAACCTTGGGGCATATTCCCAGACATTTACATCGATCTATCCCCGTGGGGAGTCTCACTAGATCACTGTCAGATAATCCGACTTAAATGTCCGTCCCGCCTACTACGAGCGGTAAGGGGGTAATTAACTTTCGTGCCCGCTCGGCTGACAGCTATTTAGCGTGAACCCCCAGGGAGTTAGGTTGATCTAGTTTGGATCGATCTAATCTCTGGGAATGGGGTCTTGCAGATCAACTTGTTCGGAATATCGTTCTAAAATGTTGATCACATCAATCTTAAAGTTAAGACCAAATCTAATACTTGAAGGGATAATAACTCTTCGTATAATATCTTTATTTCACAATAAAAACATTGTGAACAACTCAAAGAAATATAATACATTCTGTTTTACCATACAAACGGCAGTTATAGCTATTATTCTGATATCTTAGCTTGTCTTCAGACTACGTGACCTCCATTGATGGCTATACTCTGTTATAATCTCTTAAGAGATTTTAACAAAAAACCAAACTTTTTAGAAAAAAAAACCAGGGAATAACTTTGAATGTAAAAACGGATTCATTAACCATTGGTAAGTATGGGAAAATTGTTGTTTACTCCAGGAAAATTCATTTTTTGGCCGAAATGAAGAGTTATTATCCCTTTAAAGTTAAGACCAATTCTTATGTTTAAAATGGTTCCTTTGTGAAATCAGCCCCTGAAGGAGTATCATGTACTGGTGTGGCAACTAGTACTAGTACAACTCTTGGTAAAGGTATTAATGTTATTACAGGGGCGGATTTAGGCCGTCTTCTGGGTCTTCCGGAAGACGGTCAGATTTTAAAGTTTACATTGACGGGTATCTAATATTTTCTGTCGGAAGACGGTCAAAAATGGAGGATGGATTAACAAAAATAATTTGGAAGACTGTCAGAAAAATATCTCTGGATCCGCCCCTGTATTACATAACATTAATCATAAAATCTATGAAACTGGGATAACCTAGAATCTAGCTACTAGTAATGGATCCAGGGTTCAGACATTATCTTCCCATTGACACGTCCCTGACAGAACGAGACACTGAAGTGTTTTTCTATTGTCCGTAGCACATTCAGCAAATTATCACAGCAATAATGACAACAACAAGCAGGCACTAGAACAGGAACATCAAAGGTTTACCTGTTCTATGCCTTGAACATAATGCAAGGTTATTATGTACGCCAGACAGCACTTAGCAGCTTTTCGTCCGCACAAATCTGCTGCTCTGATTCTGGATTTCATGACTTTTCATGTGGTTTCCCCACATCTAATAGAAAGGATGCGAGTCAACCAGGTTCTTATTCCAACACGCGATGTAAAAAAAAAAAAAAAACAACTTTTTATTAATTTTTAAGATAACTGAAGGTAATCCAAAAATCACAAAAAGTCATACCTGGCGGTTCAAAATATTTTATTTTTAAAAATATGATTGATCAAATATAATAATTAGTGAAATTACAACAAAAACACATACAAATATAATTATATGCCTAAAATTCTTCCTTACAATCATCATTCATCTCATTAGTTATTAAAGGGATAACTACCATTTGTTCGAGCCAAAAAATGGATTTTCCTGGGTTAAATGACAATTTTCCCATAATAACCAATGGTTAATGACTCAATTCCGACATTCAAAGCTAGCCAAAGCTATATCCTAAGAAGTTTGGGTTTTTTATAATAATCTCTTAAGAGATTATTAAGGAGGTATCTAGCCATCTATGGAGATCATTAGTTCAATGACAAGGACAGATTCAAGAATAACTGCACTGACTGCCATTTTGGTGATAAAATAGAATTTATTATATTTCCTTGAGTTGTTTACAATCTATTTATTGTAAAATACGGATCACAGGGAGTTGTTATCCCTTTAACCTTGGAAGATTTTGTGCATATCATTTTCAAACAAACTATGTTTGATGTGTGCCCCTGAATGAATAAATAAAGGTAAGACCTAAAGGGATAATAACTCTTCGTATCATATGAGATCTATATTTCACAATAAAATCATTGTGAATAACTCATAGATATATAATATATTCTGTTTTACCACAAAAACGGCAGTTATAGCTATTTTTTCTGATATCTGAGCTTGTCTTTAGACCACGTGACCTCCATTGATGGCTATACTCTGTTAAAATCTCTTAAGAGATTTTAACAAAAAACCAAACTTTTTAGAAAAAAACCAGGGACTAACTTTGAATGTAAAAATGGATTCATTAACCATTGGTAAGTATGGGAAAATTGTTGTTTACTCCAGGAAAATTCATTTTTTGACCAAAACGAAGAGTTTTTATCCCTTTAACTATTAAATATGTCAATTGAATTTATAAAACCAGTAAAACCAGACTATATCGTTTTTTTTTTTTTTTGTTTTTTTTTTTTTGTTTTTGTCTTGAATATGGTTCTGGCTTCAACTAATATACTGTACTAAAGTGATTGTCTTTGACACACATCTGGCTTCTTCTTATACTGGAGTTAATGATTTTATTTCCTGTTGCCAACAACATCTCTAAAGAAGCCACCTGAATAAGTATGTGTGATTTATTATCATCACTGAAACAAGGCAGCCATTTGGAACACTGTTGCCTTAAAATACTAATCAAAAATCCATCTAAAAGGTTATCAGAAAAAGAGATACCAAGGTTTTCAAATTCATAACAAAATGACTCATTTAAATAAAAAACTAATTCCAAGAGTTTATCTATAGATAATCATATAACACTTATAAATTGGCAATCAACACTGCTGAATAAGAATATAAGTTCTGAATAATTGTTAGTCTGCAATCTAATGAATCCAGCCATTTAAAATGCTTACACAGTTACTATAATAAATATCAGTCAGATTTGGTGTTTTGACTTGTACGGAATCTTTAGACATCACAACAAACTTTTTTCATCAAACAACAAGCTGTTTATGTCATTATGAAAAATCAACAATAATAATATATAAATCTCGCTAAAAGGTGATGAGGTAACCATTCTTCTAAGTTGAAGAAAAAGAGGGTGAATCATTATAGTTATTCTTTGTTTTCCTCCTGCCATCCCACTGTTATCCCACTTCAATCCCATTGCTATCCCAGTTATTTCAGGTTTTCAACTCTTATTATACTGTTTTAGCATTTGGCTAAATTGGCGAGTGTTAGCGCTACCCAAGCCTCCCATTCTCCCACTGTTATCTAAGCTATCCCGGTTTTAAACCAGTCACCAGCAAGCCACGCATATCAACTCCATTAACAAATATGACATGCAATGCATTTAATTTCCTGAGTAATACAGAGGTCGGAATAAAAACAGCTCAATACTCCTACGGGAAGAGCATATAAATGTTTCCCGGTAATTGATGGATAACATTCTCTATGGTAATAATAATGATCAATTTGCTAAAGCGGGAAACCCTGTCAGGGGTGTCCTTCGTAACATTCCCAGGCTTCATCTGTCATGGCGTTGCTTGGTTACTAAGGCATCGATACAATGGCCAACAGAGGGAGTTGTGGATGAAAGGTCGCCGAGCAAAATTAACATTTAAGATATTTTCCTTTAACAGAGGTTTTCTATACTGAAATTGGAACTTAATGACACAAAGGAGCTGAAGTCTCTAACTGGTCTAAGTTGAAATGTTCAGACTGAGAATATAAAAGCTCAATTTCAGTAATTTCAAATGACTGGGTTCCCATAAACATATCATACTAGCAGGATCGATTTACCTCTGAGGGGATTCTTCCTAAATTGCATTCAGTTTAAGCAGCTTTAATGTCTGTCACACCCACTGAAGCTACGGGGGGGGGGGGGGGGGGGGAGGGGGTAATTAACTATTGTGCATGCTTAAACCACATGCAAGTTAGCGAGAATCCCCAGGGAGACAGATCAATTTTGCTAGTACGATAGGTTTATGGGAATGGTCAGTAAGTCTGTAGAAGTATGGCTTGTTTAAGACTTAAACAAAGAATGTCTAAAACAAGCCATTTAGAACAGCAAATAATTTACGGCTTCATTTTTGCTGATTCCTCCTGTGCATGATTTTTCTTAGAAATTTTCCTTAATTTGATTTTGACGATTTCCTTAATTTCAAATGGGTGTGTGTGTGTGTGTGTGTGTGTGTGTGAGTGAGAGAGAGAGAGAGAGAGAGAGAGAGAGAGAGAGAGAGGGAGAGCGCCAATTTGGAAATATGATTGACACTGTGGGTTTGAAATCAATGGTTTAACTTTAATGTGTGATATTTATTCTACGTACTGTAAGGGTTATGACACTTCGATTTTCTCTGCGATGCATAATTGTGTTCTCATTCAAGTCCTTCTTTTTCTAGTTCGCATAAATCTTATTATACGTACCCTAGGCACATTATTAATAATCTAAACATAAGTTACAACTTAAAGAGTATAGACTACTGTTTGAGTTCCAAATCGTCCCAAAAAAGTTGTCCGCAAATAACACTTTGACTTTTCGATTTAACGTAACTTACTTTCTGGGACAACGAACCTACCTTTTTTCTATGATAAAACACTCTCTTCCTCTAGTCTGTCTGACAGGACTTAATAGGGAAGCATCCCGACCGCTTTCATCTGGACTCTCTACAACACAATCAAGAAGTGAGCAGCTAGTCTCAGCTGCTCAAATTGAGGTCAAGGCCACGTCGCTTTTTTCCCTTTTTTGTTTTAGATAGGAACATTTATTATTTTACCTTCAGTTATATATCTGCTATAATAATGATATGATTATTCAGCGAGACATAAGTGTGTATTCCGTATTTGAAAAATTAGTGGTTTTCGTAAAGACGAGATTATACGTGATGTCAATATTAGTCATACGCCATTTTTGCAGGAAGAAAAGAAATCATTAGGAAATCGGTGACGAAAAATCCCGTGACACTCAGCAAGATTGGTTTAAAAACACACACTTCTTGGCAGCTTGAAATAGAATTATCTGAGAAGTAGTTTTACAAAGATGGGTTGTATTTTAGGCAGCGTAAGTAGAAAACCAGGTGGAATAGTTCCTTTGTTTTGAATTGAAAGTAATATTTGTAGAAAAGTAGACAGAACGTAATCCTAATCCGTGAAATGACAGTGACAGAGCCTGAGCATATATTTATATTTGAGAATATTTTAATCTTAATGATGTGAGAACATTTGTTCATTTTGATGCACCTGTAAAAAGATAACTAAAAATATTTTGATAGATAAAAAAAGATTAAATTCTGCACTGAAAATGTTTTGAAAGTTTTTGCTCAGTGTATGATTACAGATTTAAAGAATAATGCGTGAAAGGGGCTGAGGAATCCCAAAAGTAAACCTTTTCATTATACTCTGTGAACACTCCGGAACATTGAAAATAATCATTTTATCTCCCAAATATGTATACATATGTATACATGATCAGTTTATAATCAAAGCATTTTGGGTAGAAAAAACATGTGCCTTACCACATTAATATTTTGGGCATTTGGCTTAAATTTTGTATGCCTGCTTTACCCATGTTATATGCTATAAGTGAATAATAATATGTCATCTTCCTCTATTTCAGCTCGCATGCTGCTGCGGGTCTGCAGCGTGCAGTCTGTGCTGTGCAGCATGTCCGTCGTGCAAAAACTCGACTGCCACACGCATTGCGTACGCGCTGACTCTGTTGCTGGGTTCAGTGATTGCTTGTATATTCTTGGCACCTGGACTACAACAACAGCTTGATAAGGTGAGGCATTGTGCCTGTTTTAGTATAAAGAAAATCATGACTCCTGTTTAAGACCAATAGTAATGAATTCAAATTTCAGATATCTTCAAATTTTTTAAGATTTCATATCTGAGTGGAATTATTTCTTGTTTTACAAACCACACCTAAGTGATAATATTTTATTTATATTTTAATAAATTTTAAAAATATAATCAATTTTTATTTTAGATACCATATCTCTGTGACCCTGGGTTTCTAGCTACACATGCTTTAGTGGACTGTACTAGAGTGGTGGGCTATGCCTCTGTCTACAGGGTCTGCTTTGCCATGGCTGCGTTCTTCTTCCTCCTCATGCTGATCATGATCAACGTGAAGACATCGAAGGACCCGCGTGCTGGCATACAGAATGGGTAAAGTTAAACCAGTGGTTGAGATCGCGAGATGTTGAGAACAAAAACCAAGTTGTGGTGTGTCTGACATGCATGCACGCACGCAAAAACGATGTGCATGAATGTGCGTTACGCCTCTCCTTGATCTTTTGTCTTTTGCATCTATCGTAGTCAAAATTAAGTGCACCAATCATCAGTTTTGAACTCCTTTGGCACTGGCAGAACTTTTCCTGCCTTTTGCAATTTATGAATAGCCAGGAGAGATCTTTTATATTCCCACTTCTATATTTTTAAAATTATCTTTATTTATTTATTTATTAATTAATTAATTAATTAATTAATTAATTAATTAATTTATTTATTTATTCAGGTTCTGGGGTATCAAGATCCTGGTCCTGATTGGAGTTGGGGTGGGAGCTTTCTTCATCCCAGGTGGCGCCAATGCTGTCCAGCCCACATTTGAACAAGGTAAGGCGCTTTCAACAATACGGTATCTGCTCCGATCTTTTCAATGGGCAGAAATTTTCAAACTTTCAGATAGGTTATTTTATAAACATGAAAACTGTATAACATTTGTGTTGCTTTTGCTTCATAGAAAAGTACTAAAAGAAAAATTGCTTATTTTCCCCGGGAAAATTCATTTGGCAGATAAGTCCCATGGAGCTGCCTTTTAATGTTTTGTTGTTCTATTTCCAGTCTTTATGTGGTTTGGCATGGTCGGCGGCTTTCTGTTCATTATTATACAGTTGATCTTGCTGATAGACTTTGCACACTCGTGGAATGAGAAGTGGGTGGGCAATTACGAAGAGAACGAAAACAAAGGGTGGTTCGCAGGTGGGTACCAGAAGACTCTGAATACATCACACACACACCCCTCCCCCCTCCCACTTTGCCCACTATTCCAAAGTACAAAGCAGTGAAACAAACTTTCAGTGTCATCCATGTTAATGTATTCAGCTCACTTTTCCAAATCACAAAGACAGAATTAGTCTCCAAGTAGGAGGAGAGGGATACTTATGTCAGATATAGTAAAATACAGCAAACTGCTCCAAATTGCATCAAATTTGCAAATTTCAAGGAAAAAAAAAGTTTTTGTAGAAAATGAAAAGTCAAACTCCTCCCCCTTAATTGCCTTTCTAAAAGAAAGTAACGTATCCAGCCACCACCCTTATAACCATTTTTCATCCACAAATATTATTGTAAATGTTTTAACTGCTAGTCCTTTTAGACAGTATTTTAAAAAGAGAGGTAAATCTTTATCTTGATTATTTTATAAACCTCTGCTAATATGCAATGTGAAAGTAAATTTTATTTACTTTGTATTTTCAGGGTTGTTGTTTTTCACCATCGTGTTCTACTTGGTAGCAATCACTGCAGTGGTGTTGTTTTACGTGTTCTACACATCAGTAAGTTGTCTAAATACGGTCAAGGCTGATATTTTTTCCAAACGACATACAATAATTTGTGTAGTTTATGCACATTATTCACATGTAAGGTTTGTGTGTTGTGACATGTGACACCATGTAATACGGGGCACAGGATGTTGTTTAAGAAACACTTAAAGGGATAATAACTCTTCGTTTCGGCCAAAAAATGAATTTTCCTGGAGTAAACAACAATTTTTCCATACTTACCAATGGTTAATGAATCCATTTTTTCATTCAAAGTTAGTCCCTGTTTTTTTTCTAAAAAGTTTGGTTTTTTGTTAAAATCTCTTAAGAGATTTTAACGGAGTATAGCCATCAATAGAGGTCACGTGGTCTAAAGACAAGCTCAGATATCAGAATAATAGCTATAACTGCCGTTTTTGTGGTAAAACAGAATATATTATATTTCTATGAGTTATTCACAATGTTTTTATTGTGAAATATAGATCTCATACGAAGAGTTATTATCCCTTTAAACTGGTTGCAAATGATGTATTACAAGATAACATCTCTTCATTTCCCCTTTTACCAAGTTTAGATGCAGAGTAGAGTTGACTTTTGGATCATTAGCTCCAGTTGACATTTTTGATACATAAACGCGTAGACAAACTTTTAGAAACTTTTAAGCTAATGTATAGCAGCGTAGTAAAAAATGTGACTTCTGATCTTTCTCATAACATGTTTGTATCTGTATTTATTTATTCATTTACTTATTTTAAACATATTTGGCATGTTATTTTTCTTGCTTCATAATACTATTTCTCACCTTGCAGGGAGGGGACTGTTCACTGCACAAGTTTTTCATCAGCTTCAACCTGATCCTGTGTGTGGTGATCTCAATTGTGGCCATCTTACCCAAAATACAGGAGGGTAAGTAAAACAGTTTGCCAGGGATATGATCTCAATTACTGAATTAATAGTTGTCTAAATTGAGCTTAGCCTTTTACATGGCAGACTTAAGTTTTGGGCCATCAGCTTAATTTCTTGTGTTAACACCAGGTGAATTGATTTGGGCCTGCAGGGCTTGACATTAAGGGTGGCCGTGGGCCAATGAAAACCAACCTAGGGCCATTGAATTACTGGGGTCACTGGCCCAAAGAGCAAGTAAAATGTCATGTGTCAAATCATCCTTGCTATATTTACCAATATCTTGGGCCAGTATCAAAAAAAGTTGGTGTCAAGCCCTGGCCTGTGTGGTACACTTTTCATTTTGGCTCCATTTTGACTGTTCCTGACTTGTCATTACACCACTGGTGGGTTTTTTGCTCGCTTTCAAAAGTTTGCTTCCTACTGTTTGGACCAGTGAAGATGAATCCCATTTATGCATCATGTCAGGGGCAGTTGGGGTATCATTTAGATGACTCTCCTTTGTAATAGCCAGGCTATTGAAATATACCTCTCTGAAAACGATGGGAAACTGAATGGTTTACCACTCAACGTGATTAGGACCTTAGATATGTTAAGTTTTAAAGTTGAAGTTGTCGAAGAGCAGATTGCTTGTTCTCTGTATTCGTCTTATCATTTTATTGCATCTTTTTCTCTTTCAGCCCAGCCTCGCTCTGGTTTGCTACAGGCGGCCATCATAACGTGCTACGTGATGTATCTGACATGGTCTGCCATGAGCAACAACCCAGGTAACATACAGAACACAATCAGTTTTTGATGTATCAGTGAAAGAGTGAATGAATAAATAAATAAATAAATTATCAGGTAAAAAAAAAAAAGAAATACGGAAAATTATCAGAGGGACCAAGTCATATGTAAATAAAAAGAGAAACAACTTATTTCACAATCCTCTTTAAATGTTTACTACTTCTTAAAATTGAATCCAGTGCATTGGTCGTTTTTAGTGTGCCAGTTGTAGTGTGAACTAAGTTGTGCTCTCTCTCTCTCTCTCTCTCTCTCTCTCTCTCTCATTTCTTATTTCCACATTGATAAAAACTAGATATTTATTTGTATCAGACAAACTGTGTAACCCCAGCCTGAGCTCTATCCTGGACGGCACCTACAACAAACAGAACAGCACCGCCTCTGCTGGTGACCTCACCGGCACCCCACATTTTGACGGAGAGAGCATCGTGGCACTGTTGATTTTCTTGCTGGCTGTGCTGTACTCTAGGTGAGTTGAAGGCTGTTTATGATTTATATTATGCAGTTCTTGTCAGTTTTGATGAAGCGTGTAGATTGTCAAACTCTTTGTAATCATACTGTCTTTTGTTTATAGTTCAAATAGTTTTTGCCAGTTTTGATAAAGCGTGTACATTGTCAGATTGAGGGTTATCATGTGGTCTTTTGTTTAGGATTCAAATACAGTTCTTATTAGTTTTGACAAATCTTTTTTAGATTGTCAAACTCTTTGTTGTCTTAATATCTTGGAGCACTCAGAAGAGCGGACTAACAGATACGCAAATCAAATATGGCCGACCCACTTGAATGCTTGTAGCGTAATCCCCACAGGGAATCTGTTCAGTGTCTAATCAGGAATCAAGTGGCAAGTTTTAAAGTGGGTCACCATATTTGATCCGCGGATCTGTAAGTCAGTTGTTCAGAATGCGCTTGGATATCCTGTACTGCAGATCAATCCCAATAGTTGCGAATTGAGAAGTTAATTCAGCAGCATTGGATCTGATTCGGCTACAATTCCAACAGTTGCTGTCATTCAGTTATCAGATACGGTTTGGTCTGTTGTTCAGGAACCATATTGTTGACCCCAGTGTGATGTTATGTAAAATTTTTTAATAAAATTCATTTTATTTACAGTAATGATAAAATGTGCTTTATTTATTAATAAGTTTTATTTTATTTCCAGCATTCGCTCCAGCTCCAGCAGCCAAGTTGGGAAGATTACACTGAGTGGGGGTACAGAGAACACTTACCTGAAGGAGAGCTCATCAGGTGGGTGGTGGCTTACAGGACAAATAGATACTTTGCTCATAAATTATTTCATATTAAAATATATTCAAATTGATGGTCCAACTTCACTATTTTGGTATCACGCAGGAAAACTTTTGAGTTTTATAACAAGTGGTTTACATGGTACAAATACTCCCAGGTTAAAAGATGGGGGTATTTCTCATAATAAAAAGTTGGGTATTTATACAAAGAGATGTGGTGAATTCTTCTTTTCACATGGGGTGGCACATGTATAAGTATATCAGGAAATATTTTGGTTCTAAAATATAATTGTGCATTTTGGGTATACCCTCTTTCACAAGCTTGCTTCTAGCGGTTTTGGCAGAGTTCTTCCTGGATATGTACCAATCAAATTAAATCGGTTTCACAGGTCCTGTTGAGTGCAGGGACTTTAAATAATAAGCAGGGTATAAAGTTGTCAATCTCCTTAAATATTTCAATACCAGTACAAGTACCGCTCAATGTGAAAAGGGCCTCAGTGTTGCAATTTTTGAAGCTCTACAAAATGAATGCAATCTTAATCATGTTTTCCTATTGCATATTTGCTCTAACAACTTTGCTTCCTATACTTTCCATTATCACTTGACCAATGTTATAGTATCTTTGAAATATATTACTGGTAAGATTTTGTAAGCTATAAAATTTTGTCCAGTGTTAGGTAAGAGTTTAGCAGAAACATGATACTGTTTCTCATTAGATGGTGATTTTATTGGATTTGACTATTCAGAAGACAGCATTTTTAGTGGATATGCCCTTTTGAAAGTAGTATTTTCATTGGTTGTGCCCTTTCATAAGACAGTGTTTTTCATTGGTTTACAGACGAGGCCATGCTGGGGGCTAAAGAAGGTAATTTTCAGTTTTTCCTCAGTCTATCTCCAAAAATAACACTTTCTTGCTAAATATAACTTTGACAACATATTTGTACAGAGGACCTTTATGTAGAAGAAAAAGGAAGAAAGATGTTTTCCTGAAAATAACATGAATTTTTCATTAATCACTATTGTATACCCTGTCCAAATCCTTAAGTAAATCTGTAATTGAGCTATCTATAATTCAGGCTTTTAATTTATAATTTTTACTGTCAGTATACCAGAATTTACAAGAATAACTCAAAAACAAGAACTCAAAAACCTATTTATAGTTCTTAATTATAGTTCTTAATTTTGTCACCAATTTTGAATAGGTTATCCCTAAGTGACTAGTGAAAGCCTGAAAGATGTTGAAATTTTCAGCAAATATGAAATCTTTGCTAGATAAAGGTCCCTCACACACCGTGTGACTTTGAAAACTTCTGCACTGATCCTCTTAAATTCAAATTAGGGAACTTTCTATCAAAAAAGACTCAAAGGGTTAAAGAAAACTGCATTATTAGGGCTTCTTTTTGTTCCATTATTGAAAAAATTGAATTGTATATCAAAAGATTATACTTCTTCATAGTAAACAATGTCGTATAGCTACTATTCCAACACAAAACAAATGTCTTAGAAGGGATGTCTTGGAAGTCATGTTCTACTGATGCCTATGTACTAATAATAATATACTTTTGCACAAGTTGCAGCAAACAAACTAAAAAATGACATGGTCTTGGCCAGAGGAAAGTTTCTTTCATTGTATTTGAAATTTTAGAGCAATTCACATAGAAAGATCAACGTTCATTTTCTCATTACGCACACTTGTAATATTAACTACATGTTTCCTTATATGTTAGCTGTGCAATGAATCTTCCTACTTCTTGAAAAAGAGCAGACATTTCTTGTTTTAGTATTTTGATGTTTCGCGAAAATACCGCCGGTGTGTGTTATAAAGACGATGTTTCTTGTTTTGTGTCCTCGTCTTACTTTCTTGCTTGGGTGATTTGGTTAGCAGCCTTGTGTGTTGTGTATGTCGCTTCTTTAGTCTTATCTGTAATTTTTTTCTTTATTTATTTATATGTTATGTACACCCGATTGCTTGCTGTTCTTTAAACTGTCATTTCAACAGTGCCAAAGATTTGTTAAAAGGTGAAAAAGGTCGGATGCTTCATAGCTTTTACCTTTAAAATTTTTTATAGTCACTGTTATACCAGGGGAATTCTCCTCAGCATGGCCTCATTTTCAGTTTCATGAAGTACACTTTGTCTCGTTGTTGAAATAATGGTTTGTTTTTGTAATTAATAGTACAGTATTTTTAAAGTGAGTTAAGTCAGATATATGGAGATCTTACAGGTGGAGGGAATTATTAAGGGGTTAGATTGGAAAATCAACATAAGATCACCTCAGTTGATATCTTTTAGTGTAAGGCATGGAGTTGGGTAAGGTATGAAGAAGAGAGATCAATCTAGAATTCAATTTTTAGTTAAGTCAACCGTATTTTATGCAGCTGTTTATTTGCAGCATGTTTTAGCATGATTCTTTGATAATGATGATGATGATGATTTAAGCGTGATGCTGACATTTGGTCACCTAGTGTTTGCTTGCATTTTTCTTTTCTCATTATTTTATTTATTCACTCATTCATTTGAAGATATGTTTCTGTGCATACTTTGTCTATCTGTCTGCAGCATACTACCAATTTATTGGGCAATCAGCACAGGCTGAGACCTTGGCCTATAAAATTAAACCAATTTCTGGGCTTAAGTTCTTCTATGTGAAAGAAGTCTAATAAAGTTTTAATACCTGAATAAAGTTTTTACACCAGTTTGTTCTCTCTCCTAGGAAACACCAACAGCGGAAACGATGACGAGGAGAGTGGACGTAACACCTACGACAACGAGGAAGAGGGCGTGGCTTACAGTTACTCCTTCTTCCACTTCATGATGATGCTTGCCGCTCTCTACGTAATGATGACCTTGACCAATTGGTACAGGTGAGTGTGGCTTATCTTGAGCTAATTGTGTGTTAGCATCAGTGATGATTTTGTGCACTTTTCATGAAATCTCTCAGCAATCCTTTCTGATTAATTTGAACTTGTGTAAAACAATCCATTCTTCATGTTTTCACTGTTTCCGTCTTTTCTCATGGGAAAAACTCTCACAGAGCTTTATTGCTTTATTGTGGAAAAACACCAGGGTGTTTTTTTACCAATCGAAGTTTTTTGTTCATCAAGTGATTAATTTTGCTACTGTCAGTCCAGGCTAAGCTCCTGCTTATCTGTGAATGCCAATAAGTCATAAATATTTACACTAAAGTAGCCATATCATAAACATTTATACCAAAGCTACCATACTAAATATATTTATACCAATGATACCATACTTAATATATTTATACCAATGATATCTTATTAAATATATTTATACCAATGATACCATACTAAATATATTAATTTACCATATGGTAAATATTTTACTTTAATCCTTCCAGGCCCAGCTCTGACTTGAGCTCCATGAATGCTAACCAGCCGTCTATGTGGGTGAAGATATCAAGCAGTTGGCTGTGTATTGTACTCTATCTCTGGACCCTCATTGCTCCAGTTGTTCTGCCAAACAGAGACTTTGATTAAGAAGAAAAAAAAATGGAAATTTAATAACACCTACCCAACACAGACTTTGACTAAGAAAGAAAAAATCTGTAAATTCAACAACTCCTGCCCAACAGAGACCTTGATTAAGGATTAAGACTTCAAAATTTGGGAATTAAAAAACACCCAAGATAATCATGGTGAAGACTGAGAAATTGGGAATTAATACTAAAAGATCTTCTCTAATGAGTGTTTGGTGTATTAACTATCTGGCCAACTCTGGTTTTGACTGAGAACTAAAAACTTGGGAATTTAAAATCCAAGACTTATCTGATAAACTGAGAACTTCGAAATAAAAGCCAAAAGAAACTGGAGGAAGAACTCAAAAAATTGGGAATTGAGACCCGAGGAAGTTCTCTACATTTCTAAGTGTTTAATGTGCATAGCCTGTCTGTCCAGTGGAGATATTGACTAAGACTGGAGGTATTGTGAATAAAATACTGTGGAGCTCTCTATATAAAGTGTATATTGTATAACCTATAAACACAGTTTTCAACACATTTCAACCTTCAAGAGTTATTATCAACCATAGACTGTGACAAACGGCGGAGAGATTTGGAATTCAAACCAAAAGAAACTTTTCTATTTATTTAATAAATGTGATGTATAACTTACTTGTATAATATACAGTCTTTTCCTTAGAACTTAATTGGCAATTTAGAACCAATTTCTCAAAAATCTTTTCCAATAAGCATTTTAATTGACCCAATTTTTATTCACATTTCAGCATTTGCTAAGAATATCAGTATGGAACTGCTCTAATTGTAGTGGTATATACCAAAAGATGCATCCGTCATCTGTCCAACAGGTTATCGTAATTAATATAAAGACTATTAAACAATTTGCAAGATGATCATTACCGAAAGAAAAACTTTCACAATGAGCATTTTCCAACTGGACAATTTTCATATTAACAATTCCGTTAGTTTCAATTTCATAGGAAGTGGATTCTGTACAAAATGAAATGAGAATGAGAACAGTACATGCGGCTTCTTTGTTCTGTTGCTTTTTATGCCTCTGACTGTTAGTGCAATGAGCATTAATTGTCAGTCTCTGTTTCCATAAAGAAGGACTCGACAAATAGTTTAAAAATTTTGCTCTTTATTCTGTGTATTACTTTGTGAATATGGTAGATCTTCATAACTAAGGTGAAATTGTTAAAATTTCCAGGAAAATTTCATTTTTGCTTTAAAAATGTGTAATGCTCATTGTATGACTTATACTGCACTTGTCATTATTTTTGTATTAGCATGCTATGACATTTAAGAAAAGTTGTCTGCAATGTCTTATATTTATAGAATTAGAATTATATAAATAGCCAAGAAAACGGTTCATATCATATTATGTCCAGTGATGTTAATTGCTAGGTCTTTTGTCACAAATTAATCAGTGCGTAATAGAAAAATTAGTTTGTGACAAAAATTTTAAGTTAAGAATACAGCCACTCATCTGTATCATAAGGGTTTATCTTAAAGGCAATATTATCAAATCAATGCAGTTTACTTGAAAAAATATTCCAGTGGAAAAATTTTCGTATACTTGGAATTCAGCATTATTAAGAACCAAATCAGGAGAAGTTTTTGTTAGAGCTCAGGCAAGTTGACAATGAAATTTTGAAAAAAAAAAAATCAAAAAGATGATCACAGGTAAATTGCAGTTATGGTACTGGAATATAATTTGTGAATTTTTGTATAATTTATGGTGGTGATGCCATTAAGCTAGGTCACATTTCGTCTGTTCATTAATGAATGGGGATTTTGTTCTGATTAAAAGCAAATATTAAAGGAATTCATTTTATTTATTTTTTTTTTCTGGGGGGGGGGGGGGGGGCCAGGTTTTTTAATTTTTGCCCCACTTTGTTTAGTAATTTTG